TTCCCATGTTCTATTCGAACAACTGCCTCTTGGTCCAGGTAGATTCCTCATGAGCACACTTAAGTATTCCAGAATACTCATACTTTTCGCGATATTGTCCATAGCTTGTCATGATCCACACAATCGAAAACCTTTGTGTTGTCAATAAAGCACAGGTAAACATCTTTTTGATATTCTCTGCTTTCAGCCAAGATCCATGGGACAACAGCAATGATATCCCTTGTTCCACGGCCTCTTCTGAATCCATCTTGAGCCTCTGTAAGTTCTCTGTCAATGTATGATTATAGTCGTTTCTGTATTACCTGTAGCAAAACTTTACTCACATGGGATATCAAAGAGGTTGTCTGATGATTTCCGTATTCCGTTGTGTCATGTCTCTTTAGAATGTGCACAAATACGGATCTCTTTCAATCAGTCGGCCAGATAGTTGTCTTCTAAATTTCTTGGCCGAGATGAGTGAGTGCCTCCTGTGCCGCCTCACTTGCTTGAAAGATTTCAATTTTTATTTCATTTTATTAAAGGCTGGGGCATAGGAAATTGTCAAGGATCTAAGAAGAGTTGGCTGTCGTGAGTGCTTCTGATACGTTCAGTGAACCTCGCCTTACACGTAGATACCAGGTGGGAGTCTGTTTGAAGAAAGCGCTTAAAATACAGCTCCGGTAAGGCGCTGTAGAACGGTTCAAACCCACTAGCGTTTCTTCGGAAACCCTACATAGGGTAGCTATGAGTCGGAACCGACTATAAGAAACTTAAGAACAAGTTACAATTCATGTCACAGGTAACTAGCTGAAGGAATTTATGAACATGTTATATAGTTCGTGCAACTGGCACCTAGCTGAAAATAACTCCGCCCTCTTCTTTTCAAACAAAAATCTCAGCTGGACGCATGCGCCTCGGAGGACGCACGCGTTTTATTATCATAGAGGCGCAGCGCTAGATCGTCTAGTCGTCTCTGGCGGCCGACATTTTGGATCTTGGCAGAAAAGTTGGGAACGGTTAGCACCTCTACTAAGTCAGGCTGCACCATCCAAGACAGGGACAACAAAGTAATTTCTGTGGACTCGGCAAAATTAGGCGGCTGAGAGGATCCATGGTGCGTCCCTTTGAAAAACGAACTTTTGCGAGTTCCCACCTCCCTGCCCTCAGTTAAGATGGCGGCTCTACGGGCGCTCTAGCCAGGCCCCCTCGGATGCCCAGAGGGGGCGGAGGTGGCGACGGTCTCAGCTTAGCCTTTAGCTGCAAGGGGACTGTGGGGCCGGTCGCCACTCGTGAGTGCTCAGCTGGAGCTCTTCGTGGCCTTCGGAGCGAGGAGCGTGAGGGTCTCGGGCGTCTCTTTCTGGTGCTGGGTTTCTCAGCGCCTCTTCCCACCGGGCCCCGGGTCTCGCAGCCGGCTCTGTCCGAACCGCGCGACCCAGCTCCCGCGGGCCGGCGATGCCCAAGAAGCTGCTGCTGCTGCCGCCGCTCTCCGCGTCCTCGTCCTTCCGTGCCCCGCGAGCCCGCCCCGTTGTCCAGTCGGCCATGAACGCCGCTCGCACCGGCTACCGAGTCTTCTCGGCCAACTCCACGGCCGCCTGCACCGAACTGGCCAAGCGTATCACCGAGTGAGCACGGCGGGGCGGCCTGGTGGGGCCGGGTCCTCTTCTTCCGTACCCCAGCCCCTGGCCCAGGGTTTGTGGTCTCACGGCCCTGGTTCGGGAACGGGGTCTCTGGGATCACGCCATTTCAGAGCTGGACAGACCTCCGGGGGTGACAGGACCCACCCCCGTCTCCGATATGTGGTAGCCGAGAAGTGAATGGCTGCCTTAACGCATTCCCCCCGACCCCAGGTTTTTTAATTGCTCCATCTGGACTTTGCCTTCGTGTCCCCCACTCCCACGTGCCAGGGCGGCGGCGAGGATTGGTTGGGACACCCGGGGAGTGAGTGCCTGGGCGAAGGGGCGCCTTGCCGCCCTCCCCCCCCCCCCCAATTGACTCTGTTTATCTCAATTCCCAAGTCTCTTTTATTGGGATAAGCGCAAGATGTTGGGACCTGAAGGACCTGTTGGGGCAGGTGGAAGGGCCCCAGGCGCACATTGTAGCAGCAAGGGAAGCAAAGGGAAGGCGGGGGAGGCAGTGAGAAACGGGACGTTGCGGTTCGACCCATTGCTGAGAATTTGCCTCTCCATCCCAGATACAGAGTCCTGCTGTGGCTCTGTAGCTTAAGCACTGCACCGCAAGGTCGGTTTGAACTGCAAGGTCAGCGGTTCAAACTCACCAGCCGCTCCTGGGAAACCTAGACAGGATTGCTGTGAGTCGGACCCGACTCCACGGTACTTAACAAATCCCAGATGTACTGATTCAGACTGTGTAGTTCTACAAGATACCCAGCGGATTCTTATGTAGACTAAAGAGTCACTCTGCATCTTAAAACGAATTTGTTCCAAGCCCAGGTGAGATCAAGGCAACCTGTAAGGAAGTCCATTTATTGGAGTTGGTGAATTCCCCTGGAGTTGGTTCCATCATGTAGCCACCCCATATAAGGTTTCCTGGGCTGTAAATCTTAACAGGAGCAGAAAGCCTCATTTTCTCCCGCGGAACGCTTGGTCGGCTAATTGCTGGCTTTGCGGTTAGTAGCCCACTGTTGTTGTTATGTGCGGAGGAGTCAGTTCCAACTCTTAGCGACGGGGTTTCCAAGGCTGTAAATCTTTAGCGGAGCAGAGAGCCTCATCTCCCGCGGAACAGGTGGTAGTTTCGAACTGCTGACCTTGCGGGTCGCAGCCCGATTCATAACCACTACGCTACCAGAGCTCCTTAACCATATTTTGTAAGGAGCTTTTGTGACTCAGTTTGTTAACCTTTCGACTGCTAACTGAGAGGTCAGTGGTTTACACCTACCAGCCACTCTTAACTCTTCCATGAAAAATGAGACAGTCTGTTTCTAAAAAGATGAATGGCCTCGGAAACCCTAGGCGGGGCAGCTCTACTCCATGGTGGTAAGTTTAACTGTATTTTGTAAGGCATCTTTGGCTTTGGAGGAGTCATGTGAAGGAGTTCCTGGGTGGACTTACTAGATGAAGTGGAGGGAGGTACCTCAGAAGAAAGGCCTGGCAGTCTCCTTCCCTAAAGGCGCCTACTGAAAACCCCATGCAGTGTAGTTTACTCTAACGTAACCAGGGGTTGTCCTGAAACAGTTCCATGGCCAGTGACCACTTGTGACTAGGACGCTGATGACGTAGAGCACGTCATCAGCGAGCGTCCTGCTGAGCAGAGGCACGTGGTGGTCTTCTAAAGAACGCTTGCTGGGTTAAGCGCTGGACTATAAGGCCGATCGAAGCACATGCTTGACGGTTCAAGCTCACCAGTGGCTTCTAGTCGCTCTGAGTCGCAGCCAACTCACCTGCTCTTCACAACGTTTCTAAGTGGCCTCTCTCCTAGTTGACTTTTTGGTCCTTTGGAGGATCCCAGAATGCGAATAAGAGCCTCATGGCCCTTTCCTGATAATTATGTTGGAAGGGACACAGTGAACCTCTTGTCATTTAACATTTAAATTCAGAGGACAGTTTAATTGTATTCTTACTTCCTTTTCAGTAGGAGTTTGGAGATTAGAAAATGTAAAAGAAAAAAAGAGTCCTTTTCAACAGGTCTGCAATCTACTTACCCAGTTTCTGTTTCAAACCCTGATTATTATTCTGTGTTGTCCTTGTGAGGCCAGCTAAAAGACCTTTAAATATCAAGCATGTGTTTGTTTATGTGGGGTCAGATTTACCCCTGAGGAAAAAAAAATCAAAGCAGGGGGAGGAGGATATTTTTAAATAAGTCCTCTTTGTTCTTGATAGTAGGTTCTTCCCTGCTTTGTTGTGGAATGTTTTTTCCAGTATTGTAAATAACAAATATTTGTTAATCCTTTCCTTGTTGTTAATTACTGAGGAGTTGGTTCTAACTCAGTGACCCTGCACAGGGTTTCTGAGGCTGTAATTCTTTATGGGAGCAGAACACCTCATCTTTTTCCCGTGGAACCGCTGGTAGTTTCAAACTGCTGACCTTGAGATTGGCAGCCTGACTCATAACCACTATGCTACCAGAACGCCTTAAATCCTTCCCTTAGCTGTGTGTATACTGAGCTTTGATTTGAGAAAGGTTTTAGGGCTAAACAAAGTTTGAAGACCAATCAGATTGATGTGAGACTTCGGGATTCTTTCCAAGTCTAAACTTCATGATCATCAAATGATTTGAGTGATGTACTCTAATCTAAAGGATCTCTGGTAGCATAGTGGTTATGAATCGGGCTGTGAACTGCAAGGTCAGCAGTTCGAAACTACCAGCTGCTCTGTGGGAGAAAGATGAGGCTTTCTGCTCTTGTAAAGATTTACAGCCTCGGAAACCCTGTACAGGGTCGCTATGAGTCGGAACAACAACAACAATAACAACACTCTAATCTCTAAAAAAAAAAAAGTTCAGGTATCTCTGGTCCCAGAATATGCCTTTACAAGCCAAGCCAAGCGCACGTGTTCATGCAATAATGGATTGGAAGGGGACCCTCAGCTCATTTTCACATTTAACAACTTTTTGCAAATCTTGTTTTCTCGGTTCCATCCACCCCTCATTTTTTTCTAAGGAGACAAGGACTGGAATATTTTAAAGGATGCTGCTTTTTTTTTTTCATTTTACTCCTAAAAACGGTCACACCATAACACCAAGAATTGCTTTACGTGGAGAGCCCTGGTGTGGTGCTGTAGGTTCAGCATTGGACTGCCAACTGCAAGGTCGGTGGTTTAGACCCAGCAGCAACACTATAGGGTTGGTGCTCTGGTAGCGTAGTGGTTACGCATCGGGCTGCAAACCTCAAGGTCAGCAGTTTGAAACTACCAACTGCTCCGCGGGAGAAAGATGAGGTGTTCTGCTCCCGTTGAGATTTACAGCCTTGGAAACCCTGTACAGGGTCGCTATGAGTCGGAACCGAGGCCACAGCACATAACAACATAGGGTTGGTACGACTGGGAACCGCCTCACTGGCACTTAAACAACAACACTATTACCCCCCCCCCCACACACACACACACCAGCATTCATTCCTTAATACCAAACAAGATGGCGTCTTAGAAGGCCTGTGTCATCTGTATGTGCCTGGCAGTTAGGGCATTTACTTCTGGCAGTGTGTTGGGTATCTCTGCTGTTGTTATGTGCCGTGGAGTCAGTTCCGACTCATAGCAACCCTGTATAGGGTTTCCAAGGCTGTAAATCTTTATGGGAGCAGAAAGCCTCATCTTTCTACCGCGGAATAGCTGGTAGTTTTGAACTGCTGACCCTGAGGTTAGCAGTCCAATTAGTAACCACTACTCTATCAGAGCTCCTTGGGGAATCTGCTAGTGGCTATATATTTGGAGATGATTACCTAGGCCGTCATAACAGTCAAAACCAATAGTGGACCCGACACTCACCTGTGGTTGTGGGCTCTTTGCAGTGAGGCAGTGGATGATTCCACAATGGGGGGCTTCCTAAAGCCACTGTGTGTGAGGGACTGCGGACTCAGTTCTACTGTATTTAGGGTGTCTGCGTTGCTTGTTTATACCAGTCTGGTATCATTTAATTTTTCTGTGAGCATTTGCATATGTACTGGATTGTTTTTTAAATAAAGGTTTTCATTGCTCTTTTTTTTCCCCTTTGTAACTGTAGGCGTCTTGGTGCTGAATTGGGAAAATCTACTGTATACCAAGAGACCAACGGAGGTAAGTTAAAATGCTTTCTTTTTTGTTTCAAAGCATTAACTGTCTTAATGTATGAGAGAATACACAAACATATTCTTTTGTCTATCGGGGGAGCTTCATAAAGTGGCTTACAAATACAGATACTGTTCTAAATAAGCATTATGTGATTTTTTGTGTGTGTGTGTGAGCTGAATGATAGTTTACATGGGAGAATATCGGCTTTACACCGTCATGTCATTGCAATGATTACAATCTCTGTGCATCATCATTCAACAGTATTTGCTTCCATTCCCTCTGTGTTTTGTTTTTTTCGTGTGTATGGGGATGGGGTAGGGGAAGGGGATAGTAAGGGAGTGTGGCACTGTGAGTTAATGCGCTGGACTGTAAAGTCCGTTTGTAACTGCAGGGTCGACGGTTCAAGCTCACCAGCCACTCCTTGGAAACCCTAAACAGGGTTGCTATGGGTCAGAACTGACTTGATGGCACTTACAGCAACAACAGGGGTGTGTACAAAATCACTCAGGAATAGATACTCATTTAAACAACCAAAGGCTTCTGCCCATTTTTAAATTGGATTGTTTGTGTTCTTGTTGAGGTGCTGAAGTGTTGTATACACTTTAGAGACTAGTCCTTTGCCTGATAGGTCGTTGCCAAACATTTTTCCCCAGTCTGTGGGTTCTCTTTTTACTCTTTCAGTGAAGTCCTGTGATGCACATAAATGTCTAATTTTCAGGAGGTCTTAGTCATTTATTTTGTCTTCTGTTTGTTTGTATGTATGGTCTTTATAGTCTTAGGATTTACATTTAGATCTTTTATCCATGTTGAATTCGTTTCTGAATATGGTGTGAGATATTAGTCTTGTTTCATTTTTCCTACAAATGGATTTCCAGTTTTGCCAGCACTATTTATTGAAGAGACCGTCTCTTCCCCATTTAATGACTTTTGGCCCTTTGTTGAAGAGCACCTGACCGCCGGTGGATGGATTTAGTCTCGATTCTGCTCCATTTATCTGTGTCTTTTATTGTCCTGGTACCACACTGTTTGACTGTTGTGGTTGTGTAGTAGGTTTTAAGACTGGGAAGTGAGAGGCCTCTTAACTTTGTTTTTTTTTAATGTTTTCCTTTCCATATAATGTTAGTGATTAGTTTTTCCATCTCTTTAAAGAATGATGTTGGAATCTGGATTGAGATAGCAGTATGTCTATAGATTGCTTTTTTGACATTTTCACAATGTTAAGCCTTCCAATCCATGAGCAGTGTAGATTCCTCTACTTCTGCAGGCCTTTGTTGGTTTTTTTTTGTAGTAGTGTTTTATTATCTTCTTTGTATAGGTCTTTGTTTCTCTAGTTAGATCTAATCCCAGGAATTTCATCATTTGGGTGGCTATTGTAATTAAAATTGTTTCTTAAACACCCTTTAGTCTTGACGTGGCGCTGTGGGTTAATGCGTCAAACTGCAATGTCATTTGAACCTCAAGGTCGGTGGTTCAAGCTCACCAGCTGCTCCTTGAAAACCCTATACAGGGTTGGTATGGGTCGGAATCAACTCGATGGCACTTCACGAGTCTTGAAACGTGTTTAATCAGCTCATGATATTTTTTGTTTCACAGTTATTTTAGTGTAAAGAAATACATGTATCATATAATTTGCCATTTTAACCATGTCTGAATGTACAGTCCATCAGCTTTAACTTTATTCACAGTGTTGTGCTGGCCTCCTCTACAATCTGTTTCCGAAACTTTCATCAGCCCCAAGAGAAGCTCTGTGCCCATTAATCAATAGCTGTGCCCTCCTCTCCTCCCGCAGCCCCGTGGTCCCCTAGAATCCACCTTCTTTCTCTCTGAATGTGTCTCTTTAAGGTTCATCAGTGTCATAGCATGCCTCAGAACTTCATTCCTTTTGATGACAAGAGACTATTCCATTGGCTGCATCATGTTTTATTTACCCAGTTGTCTGTTGATGGACATTGGGTTGTTTCCCCCCTTTTGGTGATGATGAATAATGCATTGCAGAATGTTGGTGTACAAGTGTCCGTTTGAGTTCAGCTGTCCTGGGTGTACATCTAGGAGTGGGATTGCAGGGTCACATGCTACTGCCGTCTTTAAATTGAGGAACCGTCAGCCGTTTTCCAAGCAGCTGTACCATTGGACAGTCCCTCCAGCTAGCTACAAGGGTTTCCATCTCTCCTCGCCAATGCTTGTTAGTTTGAGAGTAGTCTTCCTCTGGGTGTGAAGTGGTAGCTCATTGAGGTGTCAATTTGCACTGCTGCTAGATCTCAAGGTGGTTCAAATTCACTCACTGCTCACTGGAAGAACGAAGAGGCGCCCTGCTCCCTGAAGATTTGCAATCCCAAAAGCCCTGCATCGGGTCACTAAGAATTAGAATTGACTTGATGGCCGTGGGTTTAGTGATTAATGATGCTGAGCATCTTTCCAGGTGTTTACTGGCCATTCCTAAGTCTTTTTTATGTTGTTGTGAAGTGCCGTCAAGTCGGTTTCCACCCATCGTGACCCTTTATAGGGTTTCCAAGGAGCAGCTGGTGAGCTTGAACTGCCAACCTGGTGGTTCTAACCAACTTTGCAGTCCAGTGATTTAACCCATAGCACCACACCAGGACTCCTTTGTATGTCTTCTCTGTATGTCTGGCTAAGTCCTTTGCCCATTTAAAGAATCCCATTGTCTCCTTTGTACCAGTTCTTTGTACATTTCGGATAGTAATAAGCCTTTGGCAGATGTGCAGTGTTTTTGTTCTTAGAGCTGCTGTAACAGAAACACAAGTGGACGGCTTTAGTGAACAGAAATTGATTTTCCTTCTTTTTCGGAGGCTGCAAGTCTTGAATTCAGGTTACTAGGTTTTGGGGGGAAATCCTTATCTGAGTTTCTTAATAGGCCTCTGCGGTCTTCAAATCCTCCCCCGTGACTTCTTTCTTCTGTGTCTCTTTTAGATCTCAAAAGTGCTTGGCTCAATGTACATCCTACAGGTGTATGGCCTCAATAACCTAACAGATAACCCTGTTCCCAAATGGGGTTATATTCATAAGTATGTTTAGATAATGTGCCATCTTGTTGTTGTGAAGTGCCATGGAGTTGTGGCACATAACAACCCTGTCTAGGGTTTCCGAGGAGTGGTTGGTGGGTTTGAACCGCCAACCTCGCGGTTCATATCTACCTTGCTTCATCCTACAGTGCCACACCAAGACTCCATGTGCCATCTAGTCTATTTGAATTATGGTGTTGCTACCAGCCGTTCCGTGGGAGAAAGATGAGGCGTTCTGCTCCTGTAAAGATTTACAGCCTTGGAAACCCTGTACAGGGTCACTATGGGTCGGAACCGACTCCACGGCACATCACAACAACAAGAATATTGAAAGTGCTGTGGACTGTCAGAACAGACAAATCTGTCTTGGAAGAAATACAGCCAGAATGGCGAGACTTGGTCTCTCATACTTTAGACCAGTGCCCAGAGAAGGACAAAATGGAGGGTCAGCGAAAAAGTAGAAGACCCCCAGTGAGACTGATTGGCGTGTTGGCAGCAGCAGTTGTGAGGATGATGACACAGCACTGGGTAGTGTTTGTTCTGTCGTGCAGAGTCGCTGTGTATCGGAACCGACCTGATAGCACCTAGCAATGACAACTCCAAGTTTCTCTCTCTGCTCTTGTCAACTCAGGTTTTCCTAGGCTGGATATTTTAGGAAGCAGATCCCCACCTCTTTCTCCCACAGAGCCACTGGGTAGGTCAGGCTCGACACATATTTTGGAGGGCACAGTTCAATTTACAGGATTTCCAGTGTCTCCCCGCCAGCTCCTGCAGGTTATCTTTGCACATCCTTGGTTAACACCTTTCTGTGAAGTCTAATTTTGATGACGTCAGATTATTGTGTCTTGCTTACGGTTTAGTCTGAGAATCCACAGAGCTGGTGTATTTTAAAAGGCACAACTGTTAATCAAGTTGAGCCTAGGAGCATCATTTCCTTAATATTATGGGATTGAATCATCATTCTGTACTTCCCTGTAAGCCTTGCCTTCTTTGTTCTTCTTCATCCCCTTTCCTCTTTTTCCCAAGATGATATAAATATCCTGTCGTTTGGGAATGAAAACGCGCAAGAGCTGTTGAGACTGCATTTTCTCCTTACACTTTGGGTTCTCTTTCTACCTCTCTGGGGCATCAGATGGCACCAGGAACAAGCCGGTGCTGAGTAATAACGGTTCATGAAACCCTTTCTGTGCTCTCTGTTGCTGTTTCTCTCAAGTCTGTTCTACGCTTGCACCCTGGCTTGTCAGCACTCTTGCTGCCCTGTTTTTTGTGGAGAGTCGGTTCCAACTCATAGCGACCCTGTCTAGGGTTTTTGTGGAGCAGCTGGTTCACGCCGGCCTCGCCGTCCAGTACAGTATCCTACAGCACCACACCTGGACTCCAGAGAACTGTAGCATTAACTTATGCCTGAGGTACGCTGATGCTTGAGTGCCCGGGAGTCCGTTCCGACTCAAAGCGAACTTCTGGAGGGTTTCAGACACTGGAAATCTTTAGGGCAGCAGCTTGCCTCATCATCTTCTGAGGAGCGGTTGCGGGATTCAAACTCCTGACCTTGCGGTTAGCAGCCCACCTCATAACCCTCTCTATTACCAGAGCTCTGTGTCGGGGCCCCAGGGATACGCTGTATTTTAAGTCTCTGAGCTTGGCCAGGTACTTCAGATGACAAACTACACATTTATCACAAAGGTACGTTGGTATAAAATAATCTGGAATTCTTTTTGTGAAGTGGAAAGCCTGGGTCCAAGAGTCTCTGCTTCCTTTTCTCTTTTGGTACAAGATAAGGAGCCCTGGTCGTGCTATCAGATAAACACTGGACGGCTTGCCATAACGTCAGTGGTTCAAACCCACCAGCCACTCCATGGGAGAAAGGGGAGGCTGTCTGCTCCCATAAAGAGTTACAGCTTTGGAATTGGCTCTGTGGCAGTGAGGTTTGGGTTTGGGTACAAGTAGTTGAAGGAGCTGAATGGGTCGGAACCTACTTGACGGTTG